TTTTTTTAAATTTTTTATGTTCTTGTTTGTGTTGATTTTTTTATAATATTTATAATATTTTTTTCAGTTACAATTGGGATACCTTTTGATTTTACACAAACAATAAGTTTCTTTATTGGGGCGAGCATGAGCGAGACCCACACTAATCTGTCTAGGTCTATTTGCGTTACGTCTTGTTTGTGAACGGAAAAATACGAAAATTAAATTAGTATACTAGTCTACTATTGATAAATTTGGACCACGTGGGCAAAATTAATTTAGAGGGTGTGGTCAAAAGAACAAGATGGCGGAAATTTTAACGTGACAAACTCAGATTGAGTTTCTAACAGCTAGATAAGAGAGAGGGGCTGTCTAAAACATCTGAAAGGCTGAAAAACTTAAAGCAGCTTGATCTAAGACTCCTTTAGATTAGTCCTCTCATTGAAAGAATTAAAATTGGGAGAACAGCTTGATTAGAAGTTTAGCTTGGCACTGCGGGCATTTTCTCAGAGTGGCAGGACAGTTCATTCTTGTCTCTTTTACTGGGTCATTTTGGTCAGTTGTGTTAAATGGTGTGTTTGCTCTGTTCAGACCCTGCTGGGCCATGAGGATGGGATCTGAAATTCTGAATATGCATGCAGGCTAAGAGCTGGATTGATTTTATTTAGTTCAATCTTATTTCAAATGGTAATTGATGGAAGCTAGATTAGAAGTTTAACTTGGTACATTTTCTCAGTGTGACAGGACTCGTTCTTGTCACTTTGATTGGGTTATTTTGGTTGTGTTGACTGGTGTGTTTGCTCTGTTCAGACACCGGCCATGAGGCCGGGGTCTGAATATGCATGCAGGCCAGGCTGAGAGCTGGATTGATTTTATTTAGTTCAATCATAATTATTATTTCAGTTGTTAATTGATGGCTCATGCTCGCCCCCACAATGTTTACATTCACCTAGTTATTGTTGTCATTGTTATGATTTTACAGCATTTATGAGGGACAGCACTGATTGAATTGAATAGATAGATATGCTGAAGGAATATCTACTATACTGATGACAAGTGAAATGAATACTATAGTCTTGATGTGAATCCTTGTTCAAGAAGCTCTATCTTCCCAGTAATCTTGTAGCTATTCCTGCAGGTTCTTCCTGTTGTCAAGTTCATATTATCATTAGTATTATAACATTAATTAATTGTTTTGTGTTTTTGAAATAAAATAATTCATTACACACTTGATATATGCAAGATTAATACCTTCTCTTAGCTGGAAACCTCCACTAAGTATTGCAATTTGATTCCAAGCATAGCTAGCCTAGCTAGGTAAAAAATACTTGCTGTTCCCAGTTCTGAGATCTGAGCATGCGCGACCACGCCCAAATTTTGGAGCACATGCCACATGCTTCTTTAATTAATAAAATGGCGGCATGAGGTAAGCTGGTGCGATCCAAAAGTCACAGTATCACTTCTTCCTTTCTTGGAGAATGATTCTAGGGGACAAGGACCTGCGCATACCCTGTGGGAGTAGAATGGTATAAGAATTAGCCTTCTATCACCAGGTAAGACTGATATATCGACCGACAACTGGATTGACAGGAGATCATGATGATGATGATGAAGATGAAAAAAGGTGGCTGAACAAAACGGCCGGTTTGCAGATTTTTGATTTTTCTCCCAGAAAAGGTCTAGAGCCACGCTAGTGGTACCATTGGAGTCCTCTGGTCAAGATAAGGTCCTCTAAGAAGTCTGGTAAGCATACTGAGGAGCTCGTTTTCCCGGTATAGCAAGGCTGCAAAAGTCGTGGCAGCCATTTTGTTTGGGGGTGAATCCTACTTAGTAACGCTACCGCGTTACTAATAAGTAAGCACATCAGAAAGAGCTTATATACACATGCGGTTACAAACAGAGCTTAATTACATACCAGTTACTACATGTATGGTAATCATAAAACACTTACTAATAATACATGTAAACACACATCATGAATATAAGATTAACATGGTCTAATAATAATAATACATGCATGTGTTATAACACATACAATCCATAATAATATAACCACACATTATATTATATACATTACTAATCTATTTAATAGTTATCCTTCACACAAACCAACGGAGGAAGGACTACTGGAAACAAGTAAGAAAGGAGAGAGGGAGAGAGTGATACCAGTACAATGTACATGTACATGAGTGGTTAATCATTGTAGTAGATTCCTTAGCACATCATTTACTGGTAGAGTAGGCTACAGATGTAAAAATATGTTGTTTACTCTTAGATAGAGTGTGGGTGTGTTACTATTATTAATAATGAAATACCTTACATGTATACTATCAGTCTGTAATTAGAATACAGTGAATACAATACAAGAGAATGATTCACCACCAACACTATCTTACACTATACCATGGACTCACTCAAAAACCAACTGCTCATCA